GGGGGGGGAAATCGACAAGTAGGATAGAAGCTACAAAAATTGCATAAAATTGATTTAAGTATCCAACAAACGGACATTGAACTGCTAAAATCGGCCAATTAAATGCACGCGACCGTAACCTTAAACATAATTCTACCGTGATATGGGAGCAAAACCCTAAAAAATGACCTAAAAACCCTGTGAAATCTTACAGATGGCACCAAAACCCCGTGTCAGAGCACATAAGAAAGGCCAAAGATGGGACCTTTACGGCGTAGAGATGATTGCACGATTCCGTGAAGAGGAAAAGAAGGGAACTAACCAGAAACGGGAAAGCGAAACCAATCTCAAGACATCGACGACCAGGCGAGTACAATAAGGGGGAGAAGGAAACGGAGGACGAGGGGAGAAATGGGCTTCTCGATTACGGCGGCAATCTCCGGCACCATAACTCGGCCAAATTCTGGTGCAGAGATGCGCCTCGCAGAAACCTTAACCCTAGATCGGAGGAGACTCGCGCATTGGAGAGGTAAAGCGAAAAGGGGCAGCGAAGGCTCCCATTAAAAAAGGCAGCTTTACGAGACGCAGCGAGGAAAGCGTTGTTGAGAGCCTTTGTAGAACGCTTAAAATACCAAATGTATCCCTAACTCCCTCTATTCGATGTAAATTAGTACCGTCTTGGAGATGCGACAACGAGTCAAGTGTAAGGGTAATATAGGAATCATAAAAGAAGGAACCAAAATAGGGAAGTTTCTGGGCATCGGCGGGGTTCCATCTGGAAGATACACCAATCTCAAAGTACGATGGCCTCGTCGATTTAGGATGATGATCACATGTTGCCAATAAAAATTTTGGATTAACTTTATTATTTATCGTCATCGATCCATCATAACTTTGGTCAATTTAGGACTTGAAGTAGCCATTAAGTCAATTAAGGGGATAACGTATAATTAAGATTAATATATGGATGTATCCACCTGTCATAATATGATAATATATTACATTAATATATGGATTATGGATTTTATATGGAGGATACGAATGTACTAAAGGAAACGATAAAGGGCAATTGGGTCATTTTAAAGGCTGCAAGAATAGAAATGCGGGAGTCCAGTAGGGAGCCTTCTTACCGGTTAAGAAACCCCTCGCAGCTGCTCGCGGAAGGAACGAGATGGATCGGGTGCAGGTGATCCCTCTCTCCCACCAACGAAGAACCCTAATAGCGTCCCTCCCATCCTCTCAGTCTCTGCCGTCAATGGATGTCACCAATTCGCAGTCTCCATGCCGCCACTGGCATTCCCCAATCTGTTATTTTCGTGTCAGATCTTCCAAGGGTTTTTTTGCTCTCTTGGAGTGCCGGTGAATAAAGACGAGATCTTTCTCTACGCTTAATTGAGAAAGACAAGTTGGATTCTTGACCATAGATCTCGTCTCTTGTGCCGTAGATTTTGGTTCATTTCGGCTCCTTTTGATTACTGCTTGATATTGTTCTGTGACATGTGCTTCTGTTTGCAGCCTTCGGGGGAGAATTATGCCAATCCTAGAACTTGCTTCTTCCATGTTCTCTTCAAGGTGTGTTCTTGGGCGTCGTATACTTCTATTTTGTTCCTGGGGTTTTGTCAGATCCAAGATGTAATTTGTGTAGCTTTGATGTTGATAGGCTGCAGCTCTGGCTTTCTACGTACTCTCGGCGCTCTTTGTTAGTAGTTTTGTGATCATATTTGTGGTCACCGTCTTCCTTGCGGCTCTCGATTTCTGGGTCGTCAAGAATGTCAGTGGTAGGATTTTGGTTGGGCTGAGGTGGTGGAATGAGATTGATGAGCAAGGAGAGAGCGTGTGGAAGTTCCAATGCCTGGATCAGGAGGTTCTCACCTTCTCTACTTATCTTTAGATTTGTTTGGTAGATCAATTTACCGGGTACGATGTGAATTCCATCTCGTTTACTTCTGATTCTCTATTTTTCCCAGTCTCTTGCGCGTATGAATAAGAAGGATTCGTGGCTTTTTTGGTGGACTCTTTATCTCACGGTACGCTATCAAGTTCATGCTATTAATACAGATCTCTTGATTATGACCAATCTTTGACTGGGAATATAGCTATCATGCTTTTTATGTTGGTTTGTAGTTTCCATCATTTCTTAGTCACATGTTCTTATGAATGCTAAACAGGTACTATTTACGATCGAATCTTCTAGCTTTATAGAAGAGTTTTAGGAACTAGAAATCTAACAATTGATGAACAGTCTAAGAATATGTTCCACTCTCATTACAAGGATTGGGCATGCTTGCTTTACATCCATGTTATACACTACCGTCAGCATCTTTGCTTGACTATTATTTATTGATTCAGAGAACACAGATGTTCATCTTTATACATAGGCTTTAATGGTGCAGAGACACATATGAAAGCATGTGACTGACTATCTATGGCTTAGTATAAACATAAGTGTGGAAAAAAAGGTTGGAAACTAAGAAGAAAAATAGTCATGTGTCTCTATATTCAAATCACAAAACATTTATAGTAATATATGTTCTTTCTGACCGTAGATGCTCTTCCCCATAGTATTATGGTAGAAAAAATTTAGATCACTTGCTGTGGAACAGATTTCAGTTAAGAAGAGGACTGATATGTCTTGAACGAGCATGTGAAAAGGCTGTAGCAAGATGGAACACCAGTGATAAGATGTCTGGAATGATGGTAGCATGTCCTAGGATCATTTCCTTTCAGGTTTGACTGTAAGTTGCCTTCAAAACAGCTAATAAATTACTGCAGCAAGGATCACTGAATCACTCCAGCAGTCCATTATAACTAAAAAGAAGCAGCAAACAATGGGTTAGATCATCTTCAAATAAGCTGGTTAATATAGCCCATAACCAATTAAAATCAGAACCAAAATTCTATGAACTTGATATTACGTCAAATCTAAGTTAAATCCTAGATAAAATTCAAACTAATCATTAACGATTAAAATCTCAGTTTGATACCGCTTTCAACACCTCATCAGACTGGTATGGTACTGTTATACTGGGTCGAATTATAACCTATACTGCCTGCTTTCATTGAAAAAAAAATTTGTACACCAATTGGTACATTGTATGGTCCAGTGTTGATTCTTGGTCAAACTGCTGGATATCAGTCTGTATGTTCTGGTCCAACGAGTATTTCAAAACCTGCCAACAATCTTAAATGAATTTCTATCGCTGATCGGTAAGCCTCCAGCCTCTCCATTCAGGGAAATGAGTACGTTCAGAATATCTTAGAATCACCTGTCATGGATATCCACGTGTATTTTTCAGACAGGTGATGTGTATATCCATAGTTTTGCTACCTTTCAAAGTTATTCTGCTTGTACAATTTACTCTACCCTATTTATTCACTTTTCCATCTGGGAAGGCATGGTTCGATTTAATATTTCAGCATTCTTTTCTCACTGTCATTGTTGTTTTCACTGTTTTCTCTCTATTACTAAACCTTCAGTTGTTTTCTCTCAATCAGTATCTGCATAGCTATAAAAGATACGTTAATTGATTAGTAATAGTTAAATCATTGATATATTATACATTAATTGATTTTCAGAAGTTAAATCATATACATTAATTGATATGCAGAAGTTAAATTATTGATTTATTATTAAGTTGAATTTTTTTAATTTTCCTAAATTCATGAAATGCAGGCTGTTTCTTGGATTTTCCTTGGGGTATTCTCACTTATAAGGTTTCAGGCAGATTATCTACTAGTTGTAGGAGTTTGTTTAAGCCTCAGCATTGCAAATATTGTTGGCTTCACTAAATGTCGTAAAGGTACATATTTTATGTGATTCTATTTGATTATTCCATTGTCTTTTCTAGCATGCTTTTGATTATGAACCCAAATTGCTCAAACACGTAGCCTTTGATGTCGCCATGAGATTTTTTATGATGCACAACCCATTAGGTGAGTTAAACCTTAGACGATAAGTTTAACATTCCATTGGCTTATTTATCTCCTTGTTATTTTGAGTTATAAAATGTTGCAAAATTGCTGCCAAATTGAAATGACTAAACATGTTTTTATTTCTTAAGAGAAGTTTCATCAAAGAGCCATAGTCAAACTTCATTAGCATTTGAGTATGTCTTTCAGTATTCACATTAATTTTCTCGTGATTTCAGGATAAAAGATATTACTATTTCTGTTCTTTTCTACAGTAACCTTTTTGCTTTCCTATTCTAAAACATGTGAAATCTGTTTTTCTTCGTGGGAAACTTAAACAAGGGATTCTACAAAGTAATTATTTGCTTTCTTTTGACTTTTACCTCAGTTGTTCCTCTTCTGTGTTCCAGATGCCAAGAAACAGATCCAACAATTTGCTACCAAGACTATTGCATCACAATTCACATCTTCATTACAGTCGGCATTCAGTGTTGTCTGAGATGGGCAAATGAAGAGAGGATATGGTGTAAATTAATATCTGTGGTTTTTTACTTTTGGGAAGAAGCAATTTCATCTTCTTTTTCTCTTTGACTTTGTGGGATGTCTTCCCACCCTAAAAGAAAAAAGAAAAACTTTGTAGACATAAACAAACTTTCGTCTGTCTGTATCTTAGTTTCCTGCATTGTCTGAGGTATTTTCTTTGTCGAGTCTGCATTACAACTGTCTCCTTTGAGGATGAAGGAAAAATATATATATATGAGATTATTATAATTTTGACTGGGAAACTTTGTCGAGTCTGCATTACAAACTTTGTCGAGTTTGCTTAGCAATTAAAGGTTTGGAGCGATAAGGTGCATTCATTCAAAGGTGTAGTGGGAAATGTGAAGGATAGCTCTTCTTCCACACTTCACTTTCTCTTTCTTCAGTACTATGATTCCATTAATCAAACTACTGAGCTTGTCATAACTCTTGCCTACTGTTTCAATAACATGCTTCAGTAGAGAAATCTCTCCTTTCTCAAAAGCTGAGCTTTTGCATGAGCAAAGAAGGAGAGTTGGAGAGAGCAAAAGATTCATTCTAGTTATTGTGTCATGGTTAGCAAAGACAATATCCAAGTTGGTTAGTTCATTATTGCATATGTAATAGGTTATGTCCAACATATGTATGTATGTGGTTTAAGGCAACTGCATCAGAAGGATCTTGGAAATCTTGGTCTCCTGCATTATTAGCATCTCTTTTTCTAATGAGGACTTAACTAAGCAATCATATCATGTTTTAGTCCTTTCGCAAATGTTATCTTATCTTAAAAAAAGCTTGTCTTCCCTTTTCTAAGCTATGCTAGACTTGTCAGAGAACTGAAAGGAAAAGTGTTTTGTAAGCTAAACACTACAAAATTTAATTTGATTCTTAACTATTCCAAACAAATTTCTATGTTTTTGTTGTTCTTTCCATTTGCCTATTAAAAGAGATTAAAAAAGATTAGCTTAACTTATATACCAGTAAAAATATACAATGTATTCCATGAACAACAGGTCAAATAAACATCAAAGAAACTTGGAAGTATGATAACCACATTACTGCCAGTCTGGTTCGAATTCCTTGCTCATCCAAGCTACAGTCTCTATTCAACATGTCAAATAAACTGTAAGCCAAAGCATTGGGAAAACAAGAATGATTCATTTGAAATGCAGTACAAGAAACTGAAATCTATCTGACCAGGAAAAATCTTCTTCTTGTGAAGTTGAGAATCCACAACACTTGATTCAGTACTTCTCAAGCAGCACCAGAGGGTCATCACCTAACTCATGTTTGGTATGTTACCATGTTGACTTGAAATCTGGAGAGTGCAACTCTGAAGAAAAAAGCTGATATCAAATCATAAGTTGAAATCGATACCGAAAGGAATTTGCTGGCTTGATCCGAACATTTTACACGACGTTTATTGGATTAAAATCAATCATCCTCGTCATGATCCAGCAATTGTCAAGTTGGTGGCCGATGCATTTGAAGTCTAAAGACTATTGGCAAAGGTAGAATTAAAGAAGCATTATCTACATGATGATGTTAGGGTCAAAGACGCTTCATAGGAATGTTGATGATTCCATTTGAATCAATCACTATCAAATGTACCTTCTTTTCTCAATTTCTACTCAATCGTCTCATAGTTTTCCTCCAATAGAAAAGTTCAAAAGTCCTCTCCACCATTACATGTGAAAAAGAAAGCATTGTGTTGCTTTCATGGAAGACCATGTTTGGACTTTTGTAGAGATTTCAGGAATTAGAGGAAGAGAGAAGCCTCTTCTAGAATGTTAGACTAATCTGATGACGATGATGTTAATTTAATTGAACTTTACAGTCTGATTAAGATGTTTGGTGCCACACTTCTTTCTCCTTAGAATTCATCTTGTTGGAGAACAAAAATTAGACAAAAAGGTTGTCCTTCAACTGATTTCGCTGTATCGATAAGGTTTCAAAATTGTTATGAACAATTAGAGTAGCTAAACTTCTGAAGTTGACAAGAATTGGACAATCAACAAATCGATGTGAGTATATCTTTGAAAGGGATTAGTTGCATAATTTCTTATCATGTGAATTGTTTCTTTGCTTGAGTTATGGACTCTTTCATATGTTCTGTGCATCCTGAGTACTTTAGGCCCTGATGATCTATTGACAGACCCAAGCATAAGAAAGGAAGTGTTTCAATGCATACTTGGCTGCTTGAAAGAGTTGTGGAAGAGAAACTGTTGTAGTGAGAGTGTCAAAGTGATTTTAGGTCTCCTTCATAATATTTGTAGGGCTCTAAAGCTACCTATGCATCAGAAGATAAAAGAAGAAGAAGAAGTCATCTTTGTAGCCAAACCAGTAGTTCAAGCAACATGAAGTGTTGCATCAGTCACATGCATCTGTTCTCTCATTGATTTTGTTTGCTTTGGATCTTCTTCATCTTTGTCCAAGCTCTGTGCATGGGTCAAACATATCCAACTCACCACTTTGACACTCTCACTAGCCACAGCTTCTAGACTGTCAAACCCCATGAGGAGTAGCAAGCAGCCATTTTGTTTTGTTCTACAAGAAGGTGGCAATCCACCCCATGCCATTTAGCAGCATGCAAAAGAACAGACAATGAGATGGACCAGTGGTTCATGTCAGTCAAACTAAGACCATCTTGTTTCATCCTCAGCTCTTGGCATCAGGTCAAAACCGGGGTTAGTCTTCTCATCTCATCATGAACCTCTACTTCAGGCTTTAGAGAGCTTAAACTAGTCTTGTTACTCCACACCACCCTCTATAAATGCCCAATGCCACTCATTCCATCTCCTAAGCTCTCAGCACTTCTCTCTCTCTCTTTCTCTCTCTCTATCTCTCTCTCTCAGGCTCTCCTTCATGGGGCTCAATGGAATGGCTCGTTGCTCTGCCACACCAACAAGGGTGCACGAGATGGACTTGAGAAAAGGTCCCTGGACTGTGGAAGAAGATCTTGTGCTGATGAACTATATCGGTAGCCATGGCGAGGGCAAGTGGAACTCACTTGCCCGCTGTGCAGGTAGCCAATTCATTCTTTGTCTTGATCCATTCCGATCATGGTGAATCACTCTGTTCTTTATCTGGTAATCATACTTGGTCCTGTTACAGGTCTCAGAAGAACGGGCAAGAGCTGTCGGCTTCGATGGATGAACTATCTCCGCCCGGATGTCCGCCGCGGTAACATCACTCCCGAAGAGCAACTCCTCATCCTCGAGCTTCACTCTCGTTGGGGAAACCGGTGAGTGATCTCGACGAAGATCTCTCGGTGATGATGCTCTCCTTGCAGCTTAGCCCTGAACAGAGTCCCACGCCATCGTCTCGTAGGTGGTCGAAGATAGCGCAGCGGTTGCCGGGGCGGACCGACAACGAGATCAAGAACTACTGGAGAACGAGAGTGCAAAAGCACGCGAGGCATCTCCGGTGCGACGTCAACAGCAAGCAGTTCAAGGACGTCATGAGGTACATGTGGATGCCTCGGCTGGTCGAGAGGATCCGGGCGGCTTCCGGCAGCTCCGCCACCTGCGTGCATCAGAACGTTGCAGCTCCATCGACTCGCGAATGGCCCGCAGAGGGAAGTGTTGAGCTTGGTCAAGCGAAGACCAGCCCGGACGACTCCGAGATGCAGCTCTCGTCAGCTTCAGAGTCCGACGACTGCTTCGCCAACCGCATGCAGGGATGTGAGAATGGATGTGATGATTGGTTTCAGGAAGCAGACTTCACTGCTTGTTGGCCGCAGCCTCTGCCAAGTCCTGGAGTTTGTGCTGATGACTTGGGGTCGCTGGATTTGGATGGGTGTGGATGGGAGGAGAGCTTGTGGAGTATAGAAGACGTTCGAGGAGAATGAAGCAAAGGGAAGATAGAAGAATGTGTTGGGAAATCTTAATTCCTCCCCTCATTTTCTCCTCTAATTAAGGAACTGTGTCTGATTCTTTCAGATTAATGGACTAATTATTCTCCCTAAATTTGGATGTGTCTAAATCTCATATATTACTTTAAATTTCTTCAAAGGTAAAAAAGAATTGTTTCTATGGCACAGCAGATGAAAACACAGCAAAATTGTTTCTGATATCAACCAAGCAGATGAGGGATAGACAGAGAAACAATCCACAGTTCTCAAACAAAGACTGCCAAGATGAATCCATGACAGAGTTTTCCAAAGTAGACTAAATACATGCAGATTGTTGGATTTGGAATGAAGCTTCTTCAAAGGTAAGTGGAGGTCTCCATCCTATTCCACTGTGACATCAAAGGAATTATTTCCACACTCTCTACATTTCCTATCTATCCATCCATCTCCTTTTCTTTTGCATGCTTATGTCAATAGTGCTTCTCATGGAGCAAAGCTGCAAGTAGTTCTTGCAAATTTGCAGGCTATCTACTTGTATTCTGCAATTAAAATCTTGCATCCTATTCTCCTGAGCTTTTCATTTTTTGGTCACAGGAGCACTTTCATTAAATCTGTCCATGGCCAAAAAACCTATCAATTTCATAGTGACTGGCTTTGACTTGAAGTAACCCAAAATTATAATATAATGACTCACTTTGGAAACTGAAACTATGATTCTAGATGATATGACTCTGCACCAATTAGTCAAAATGTAAACAAGGAAAGTTTTGGCTGCTAATTTTCCTCTAAAACTCCTAAAGTCCTCCACATGTCACTGAATAAAGAAGTCTTATCTAGAATGTTGAACATGTCACAAAAGTACTGACCTTGGCATGCCAAACTGATATCACTATCTCAACAAAAGCACTTTTTTTAAGTTTGATTTGTTCATCACATTCACATTGGATAATATTATATACATACATACATACATAAGCTATGTATTATATCACTATGGGCCATACTACTACTACTTCTAACCCAATCATTGGTTACCCCCATCATAATGTATTCAAAAAAGCTTGAGGATTGCTCCTTTTCTTTTTGGATAACCCAATTAATGCTCTACATTTCCAGCCAATTGCACCTGTAATAATTTCTTGTACCATTTGGTGAACATTGTTGAGTGCACGTGCTTGGAAGACACCGGCTCGAATTTGCACGTGCCATCCGGTCCGGTTCGTAGCTTGTGTTCTTGATGGGCTAAGTCCAGTCATTTGGGCTGGAAGGTCATTTGATGGGCCCGCCCATATAACTTGAACTCTCTGGAAACTTCCTGAGCTCCGCGTACATGTACTTGCGCGCCATGTGGGATTGGAGCCCATCCCACCTGCGGCCACGAATTCAAATCTCCCCTACGATTGGCATTCCCGT